AATTGCTAATAGGATTAAATAAATAGCGGTACTCTTAGTTCTATGCATCGTTACAGTTTCAGGCACATGTTTTGTTGCAGCCTTCCGCTTACCACAGAGATTGTCCAAACACGTATTGTTAGTGTGGCAGGCACTGCACGTGGCTCCTCTTTTATATGGCCATGTTGGGTAATTTCCTCTGTAAAGCAAATGGCTCTCCATTAATTAGTAGGGATGTATTTCTTTTTTCAGTTGCAGTTTATCATGAATCCATAACCATGTTCAGAAGAACAATAAAGTGGAAGTCCTGTGATTTTTTTGTTTTAAACCGGGGATTGAACTCAGGCCCTTGCGCTTGCCAGGGAAGCGCTTATTCCCCCGAGCTATCTCCCCGGCTCAGTCCTGTGATTTGAGAGTTGGTAAAATAAGTAGAAAGGGAAACAAAATGCTAATATTTCTAAGGTTCATTTTCTATGCCTGTGTGGATTAACCTGTCCTAATCTACATAATTTCATTACTTCTGACAACTCTACTTCATAGGTATGAAAAGTTCTAAGAGGTTAGTAACTTGCCAAACATTACAATTCACAAGTAACAGATTCAGAAGGAAACCTAGTTTGTCTGAACCAAGGTACGGTCCTTCTGGCCCGATTACTGCCATCTAACTGTTCCTCTTAGAAAAACTATCATGATCCTTGTTTATTCCCTGTAGTTTGGGATGGGATAATGCTTTCCAAAAGAAAATAATGAGGTGGGGGAAATTTTGAAGTGTGGTTTGTTTTCACATGAAAGATGTAATAGATAATAAGGATATTCATTGTGCTAGGCCCCATTCCAAGCATCCTTGAATGAAATAATCTTCACAACCCTATGAGTGTAGTACTGTTACTTATGCATCTAGGGGTTTAGGCAAAGTGTAATTTACTAAGGTCACGGATTAGGAAATGATATCCAAATTTTTTATATCCTCATGAGTTATCTTCAAAGTACTAATATAAGTTGTATATTTATTTCAATAAAGCTGTCACTTTTTTTGGAACTCTGTTTTGGAATGCAGCTCTGTATGGTGCCCATGATAATTTGGTGAAGTTTTTATTTTTTGCCAAACTGGGGATTGAACTCAGGCCCTTGTGCTTGCCAGGGAAGCACTTACTCTACTGAGCCATCTCCCTGGCCTTCCAAGTTGATTTTTAAATGCATAAAATACATAGGATCATAGAAGAAGTTGATCAAATTGAAACGGGTCAAACTGAAAAATTTGCAATACAGTTCTACATGCTTCAATTGGTCACGCATTGGCCATGACTCATCCACATAGCTGACACTGACAAAGGCTCTGCAAACTGCGGTGCAGGGTTACGGGATAAATCCTGAGGGCACT